AGAAAGGGAATGTAGTCTATCCTGTGACATTTGACATATGTAAATATGTCGAATGACGTACTTGTGTTAGAAGAATTTATGGTAACGACACGTGACTCGAGTTTTGAAAAGTAAAGCGACGGTGGTTTGAGGGGTCTGATGCTTTGTTCTTGCGCACTAGATGTTACAGTGATTATTGTTATCCTTTCTGTCAGGTTTTGCGTCGTCTTCAGCTCTCCTCTCTGTGTCTCCCCTTACCTCCCTACAGACTCGAGTCACCTAGAAACACGTCGGAGAGGGGTACATTTTGAACTGGGTAAAATTCTGAAGATGTTGCGCTGTGTAATTTGGTGGAAATTGACCTATGTTTCAGGAGAGTTCACTGCCTCTTGAACATTAGTCTGCACCAGACTGCGCGCTACAACATCCCAGAAGAAAAATCTTCATATTTATGTCTGTGAAAACCTGGAAGCTCATATTTGTAAAAAAAAAATTCCTCATATGCTTGTTTCTTCTTTATAGCTTATTGGCCACGGAGCGAGTCCACGGCGGGAGCAGGAACAAGCGGTGAGAACTCAGCTCTTGTAGTTTTTGGATGCGCAAGACGGATTGAGAATGGAATGTTTGTTTGTGGATTAGAAAATAGATTCTGTTGTAAGTTTGTGGTAGAATTTGGAGGAGAGAATGTTGATTGGAGTGCCTGAGGAAAATGTTCTGACCAGAGAGAAGAAGGAAGTGGAGGATGGACGAAGATCGCATCACGACAGCGGAAAGAGTTCTTGGGCCGGTTAAATCAGGTCATATGAGATTAATGAGTAGATTAAGCTGGCAATCTTGTAAGCTCAAAAGACGAGACATGCGCAGACATGGGCGGATAATATTGAAATGGAGCCTAAGAAATAGCGTGGGGATGTGGAATGAGCCGGCTCAGCGTACTGCCCAAAAGTGGGCACAGGAATGAACTTCTGGATTCATCCGTCATAGCAGACCTCCTGACTCGTCGAGTTAGATGCGTTTGAAAGGTTACGGTTGCGTGTTCCGTCGGTCATCAGCTTTGTTCGGCGTTCTTAACGATTTAGAAATTTGCATCTGATTGTCTTTCCTCTCTTCAGGTGTCGTTAGACGTTGGTTGTCAGCGAAGGCCTTGAAAGAAGACAAATTGATCCTATATCTGGTTGTAGTTACTTTGAAAGTTTTGATAAGTTGTATACAAATTTACTTTTGTGTAATAGCTGTAATCGAGCCAGTAACATCCACTGCGTTCATAAAAGAGCTTCAAGTGTTTAGCGAATTCTGTTCCCTTGATTGTTTCTGAGCCCCTGCCGATTATAAATTATGAAGTCTGCTTTCGAACCATGTTACTGTACTCCAGAGGAAGCATCTACGATAAACGTCGTGTCCCCCCAGCATTTTATGAATGTAGAAATGAAGGGAAAATTTTGCAGCGTCTGATGTGGATTGTCCAGTTATTTGCTGAGCTTATGTCGGCTATTTCGTCGTTAGAATTTCAAAATTGATGGAAAATTAAGAGAGTTTAGTGATGATGATTGTGTGTTCTTGCATGGCATTTGTTTGTACTGCTCCGCTGAATGGCTTTATGTGATGGCGTTACTTTTAAGGTTTCTTATCGTGAGACTTGTTAATAGAAACTATAATTTTACCTGTTGTTTTGTATGGGTGTGAAACTTGATGTCTCACTTTATGGGAAGATGAGATGTGATGGGCTTCGTAGAAGGCTCTGTATTTCTTTTGACTAATTTAGTGACTCGGTTTCTCAAAAAAAAAAACTCTTCTCCGTGGGGTCGCGTGTTTTATCCACAAAACCCTTTTTTTTGAATATTTATAAAATTTTACAAATAGAAATTTGTTTGAAAAATTCCATTTGAGTCCATTTTGGTCCAATACACTTCCTGTATTTTTATATAATGAATGAATATATTATATGGAAAAAAAATGTATA